AATGTATGCTATACGAAGTTATTTTCTTATTAATATTTATATTTTGAATGTGGTGAAAATTTTCAATAAAAAGAAAAGCAAAATACTACAAATGTAAACAAAATTCCTGAAGGTTTCGAACATTTTTTGAATGTTATTGATGTTAGCTTTTGTCATTTAACTATTGAAAATTTTCATTCAATCCTTCATGGATAGCTTAGATAAATTAGTTAGAAGCTTTTAAAGCTCTAAAAAGCTTTTGTGATTTATCATAGTAATGAAAATAAATAAAATTGTTAAAAACTAAATAACATTAAACATCCCGTAAACAGTTTGAAATGTGCAATTCATTCGACCTAATTTATAAACATGAAAAAGAGAAAACAAATGAAAAGCACATTACGAAACGAATGAAAATAATTTGAAAAGCTTCTCAGAAAAACATGTCCTTGCTAAAAGGATTCGTCGATAAAAGAATTCCAGTTTCGAAAATATTCCATGCAACAGATATCGGAAATGTTCACATCTAAATAAAATTTCCTTTCATTTAAGTTCACTCAGTTAAGAAGACCACTCAAAAGAAAAGTTTTAGGAAATTCAGGAAAGTTTTAAGTAAAATAAGCAGTATGAGAACTGCTGTAATAAAAGATAGAAAATAGTAAAGTGAATATTTTTGAAAGAATTCATCATAAATAAATTGTGAACAAAATAAAAATTAGGAAAAGGAAAACCGAATAGCTAATTTGATAGTTGCTTCGAAAACATTGACAAATAGTGCGTATATAAAAGGTGATAAGTCATTAAACAAACAAAACTTTATTTAACAAGTGTACATAAATGAAAAAAGAAACTTTATCAATTAACTTTGAAGATTAAATTAATGCGCATGAAATTTTTTTTTTTCAAATCTTCGTTTATTTAATAATTATCACTTCAATTATTATGCGTTAAAAAAAAATTTGTTTCAATTCCTTGCATTCATAATATTATTGATAATATTGTTAATGAAATTTATAATCAACCCAGCTAACCCAGGGTTAACTATGGGCACCTCAGTAGAAACAACGTCAGAACAATAAGCACTGTTCAATCTCAAAATATCCTTCTCACTCATTCGAACTCTTTGTCCCATGGTTTCGCCGTTTAAATCTTTGAGTGGAATAATGGTGGGACTTCCATCGATTGAAAATGATACTGATGGGTAATGCATCACGGAACTGGTACAAAAAGTTATTCAAAATGAGTCAGAAAATTCTGATAAATATTTTAATCATAAATACCCATAATCATAATCCACACCATAGTTTGACACAACAGTTTCTGACTGCTTCGCAAAATTGCCTTCAGTACCAGCTTGAATCTTATCCCAAACTATCTCCACCCACTCATCACGTTCTGCCGCAGATTGCATGTGATAAAATCCAACAGCATGCATAAACTCATGAATAATTGTGTGCAAACGGAAGCATCCAACTTCTAAGTTATTTGGCTGCAAATTTAAGATTTGTTCTCCAGTTCCACGACGACCAACTGAACTGAAACATCCGCTGCCACTTCCGGTTACAGTAATAAAATCGTTGTGAACTTTAGGATCGTAGGGAACGAATCTGAGGCATGTAACTTCTTCCATTCTCCTTGCTCCGCGATGAATATACGAAACTTGATCCAAAGCTGTGAAAATGAGATACGAAAGTGATTAAACAATCGTAAATGTCAATTGAAGATTATTTAATTTGTTTAAGTTCTTTAATTACTGAAATCTGACTCAACAATTCTGTAAGGCACAATTCCACCAGCCCAATTATATCTTGTAGCAATCAACCCAGTTTTAGTGTTGCGACTGTTTTCATACTCGGCGATTTCTTCTGGTGACATGACAATGTCTCCTTGATATTGACCGCTGTATAATTCAGCTACGTCATCTGTTCCAAGATTTTGCAATTTCTCGACTATTTAACGAATAAATTAAGGCGTCTTAATGATGTTTATAAGAAGTCTTGAGGATTTCTTACTGTTTTCCGGAGTATTAGCTTTGATGAAAGAAGCTCTGCTATCATCAATAGGATTACAATAAATATTTCCAACAAGGAAACTCAAAGACAAAATCACTAAGCAGAAAACCTTCCCCATGTTTAATATAAAGCAGCTTCGAAAGAACTGAAATTTATTTAGCTGGGAAGATTGGTTTAATACTTGAGCCCAATCATTCGATAAGTAATTAATCTTTTCATTTATCAAGCTTTTATTGCTTATAATTTATCATTCAACGCCAAGTGCATACTTAAAATTATTTTAAAAAAACTGTTTTTCAGATATTGGAATAATAATTCAAATGATAATTTAAGTTAATTCAAGATCACATTACATAACTGTTATTTCTCAAAAATGTCCTTTTATTAAAAAGAAATGTCTATGAGAAATCTTTTCACATTATCAGGCCTTCAGATGGAAGTTAAAGAAAAGCGTGACCCATTAAAATTTTCACAGCTAATTAACTGAAAGACTCAAAGGAGATAATTAACAAGCAGACACGACATTAATCGGTGATTGATATTAAGATTTGTAAAAATTAATTTTATTTATAAATACAAAATAGTGAAAAGTTTAACACTTGAAAATATTTTTAAATTGTTATTTATTAAAGTACTGATTGATCAACCAAGAGTTGGTCAGTTTTGATTAGTTGCTTCTGTCGGCTAATTGGTTTCAATTCCTTGCATTCATAATACTGTTGATAATATTGTTGACGAAACTCATAATTAGCTCAGCTAACCCAGGGTTAACTATGGGTGCCTGAGTGGTTTCAACATCATAGCAATAAGCACGGTTTAATCTCAAAATATCCTTCTCACTCATTCGAACTCTTTGTCCCATGGTTTCACCGTTTAAATCTCTGAGAGCTACAATCGTGTCACTTCCGTCAATGGAAAATGCAGTTTTACTGTAATGCATTACAGATCTGTGAAGTAATAAATTTAAAGTTAAACAATATTTAACAAATATTCTGACAAATCTTACCCATAATCATAATCCACACCATAGTTTGACACAACAGTAGCTGATTGTTTGTTAAAGTTGCCTTCAGTTCCAGCTCTAATTTTATCCCAAATTATTTCCACCCATTCATCACGTTCTGCTGCAGATTGCATGTGATAAAATCCGACAGCATGCATAAACTCATGAATAATTGTGTGCAAACGGAAGCATCCAACTTCTAAATCGTATGGTTGTAAATTTAAGATTTGCTCTCCAGTTCCACGACGACCAACTGAACTGAAACATCCGCTGCCACTTCCGGTTACAGTAATAAAATCGTTGTGAACTTTAGGATCGTAGGGAACGAATCTGAGGCATGTAACTTCTTCCATTCTCCTTGCTCCGCGATGAATATACGAAACTTGATCCAAAGCTGTGAAAATGAGATACGAAAGTGATTAAACAATCGTAAATGTCAATTGAAGATTATTTAATTTGTTTAAGTTCTTTAATTACTGAAATCTGACTCAACAATTCTGTAAGGCACAATTCCACCAGCCCAATTATATCTTGTAGCAATCAACCCAGTTTTAGTGTTGCGACTGTTTTCATACTCGGCGATTTCTTCTGGTGACATGACAATGTCTCCTTGATATTGACCGCTGTATAATTCAGCTACGTCATCTGTTCCAAGATTTTGCAATTTCTCGACTATTTAACGAATAAATTAAGGCGTCTTAATGATGTTTATAAGAAGTCTTGAGGATTTCTTACTGTTTTCCGGAGTATTAGCTTTGATGAAAGAAGCTCTGCTATCATCAATAGGATTACAATAAATATTTCCAACAAGGAAACTCAAAGACAAAATCACTAAGCAGAAAACCTTCCCCATGTTTAATATAAAGCAGCTTCGAAAGAACTGAAATTTATTTAGCTGGGAAGATTGGTTTAATACTTGAGCCCAATCATTCGATAAGTAATTAATCTTTTCATTTATCAAGCTTTTATTGCTTATAATTTATCATTCAACGCCAAGTGCATACTTAAAATTATTTTAAAAAACTGTTTTTCAGATATCGTATTGTTGGGGACCAGATCCTTATAA